GACGCTTCCCACACATGCGTCTTGCGCCACAAGCTTTCAAATAGTAACGTTTCATGACTTGTTTTGGTTGATTACGAAATTGGCGCAGTTGTCTGCGTCCTGAAAGGCAGCAGTAGAGTTTTATTGTAACCAAGTCGCAGCCAACATTGACATAGACATAGAGATAGAGATAGAAATAGAGATGAGAATGAAGATAGAGATAGAGGTAGAGATAGATATAGGTATAGACATAGTCATGTAGATAGACATAGAGATAGGCATAGACACAGGCACAGACACAAGCACAGGCATAGACAGAGCCATAGACATAGACATAGATGTGTATTTGAGCTATCCGCGATGAGCTCGTGACTTTTCAAGTCCCTTGTCACAAAATTAAAACAAGGTGTTACTAACTACAAATGTCAGCACACACACACGCACGCACACACAAACACACACACACACACACACGCGCGCACCCACGCACACGCATACGCATCTACACGTAAACGCACATGCGCACACGCACACAAAGTGTTCTTAAAGTGTTCCACGCCGGCTGTCCGGCTGTTATCCGAGAGAGTTCTCAACTGATTACACCGTTTCACACGGCTGTCCGGCTGTTATCCGAGGCAGTTTTCGGCTGATTACACCGTTTCACACCTGCTGTCCGGCTGTTATCCGAGACAATTCTCAGTTGAATATACCGTTTTACACCTGCCGTCCGGCTGTTATCCGGGACAGTTTTCGGTTGATTGTACCGTTTCGCACCTGCCGTCCGGCTGATATCCAAGACAGTTTTCGACTGATTACACCGTTTCACACCTGCTGTCCGGCTGTTATCCGAGACAGTTCTCAACTGATAACATCGTTTCACACCTGTTGTCCGGCTGTCGCCACAGGCGTCAGCCGGCGCAGTTGACAAAGACGAGCTTTCTTCTGAAACCAGGGACACAACCGCCGCCAGGATTGGTTTTCTTGCAATGAATAATCGTGATGCTGTGCACCCACCGGCTCACTGAGTATTATTAAATATGTTACTGAACAGTGAACGCGCGTGGAAAGGTCGCCTTCCCCGCCGACTGCTCAGCCCGCGCCGCCTGCTGAGCTAGTGATGGCTACTAGTGCTGATCCCGAGCCTGCTGTTCCGTACCAAGTGGTCTCAGCGCTGGCGAGTCAGCTGAGAGAACGGATTCATGTATTCATTCACGGGTCCGTACATGGTGGAAGATGGTGACGACGCCGATTGTTCGTTCCGGTTGAGACCACCGCCACTGTAGATTATAACGTCAACGATCTGATTAGCACCGCTCTGGCGGTTGGCAGGTACGGTGGCTCGAACCGGACCGCTGCTGCTATCATCGCCTTTCAACAAGACAGCAGAGACGGACTGGCTACTTGAAATCAAATATCGTAGATCATAAGACGATCTGCTGCGCAAGAGGCAGAAAAGCGGCGGCTCGTCAAAATGCTGAAGCAATCAACGAGTCAAGTTGACCATCCTCTACTCCGACGGCCGCGAAGGCAGGAGCTCCATAAGTCACACGGAGGCAGACGAGTGCCGTCGAAAAACACGTGGTTGTCATCACTGAGCCAGGCAGCCGCCACGTGACTCATTTCACGTTCGAGTTCGGCCGCGCCCCGCACATGCTCAACGAGCTACACTCCGTGAGCCCGCAGTGCGACAGTCACATCAATGTACGCGGCTGCGATGGCACGGCCGTCAACACCGAAACGATAGGCGACGTGCTCCCGCTGTTTGATCTGGCCACCGAGTCACCCGCACACTGGTTCATCTGCCAGCTGCGTGGCAACGAGGTGAACCTCCTCCACCTGCTGCTGAGCTTGGACGGCACGACCACGGGATCGAAAATTGTTCTGGACTCATCGGCAATACCTGTGCCGGGGAGGTCTGGGAGAGGGACGTTGTGGCATTTAAGGCTAGGTAGGGGCGCGTGCCAAACTTGCCGGTCAACCTGATTCAGCAGCCGAACACCAACCAGCAGCTGTTGTACCTTCTGGTCTCCGGTGTTCAAAACGGCTCTGTCCGAAACGTGGCAGCCCAGCGGTAAATCGGACCATCGAACCATGTCATGTAAATATGAAAACGCGCTATCTTCGAGTTGATAGCAATGGGTGTTTAAAGTCCATCAAGTATTAATCGATATTTCATGTGCTCACTGCTAAGCATTTACTTATCACCATACCTTGTGCCGTAGTATGTCGCATCATTTGCTGGTTGGTTCATGCTGACTACCATATTTGTTGATATGTACTCCGTCACATTTGAGGACTTTGAATATCGGCATAGCTACATACACTAAAAAGGCGCAATAATTTGTGTATGATCTAATGCTCAGTTCGTAGCAAATTGTTCTAATATATTCGCCCCCGTTTTAAGATAGTGGACACTGGCCGCTGGTCTGCTCCTAGTTCACATCTGTACCGAGACTTCCAGCAGCGCTCTCAAGAACCTCGTCCAGTGCGTGGTCGGTCACTATGTGTCGGTACCGTCCGCCATCTGGCAAAACAGGGGCTGCGTCTTTGGCTTACACAACTTGTTCCGGAGCATCGCGCTGCTCCGTGACCTGACGCAGCACACATAGGCCACGGTGTGGCAGGTCCTCCAGCGTAACGTGCACTGGGTCCGTCCGGAACAGCTGCTGCTGGACATGGTGTGGGGCGAGAACTGCATGGTCCGCGCACAGGCGGTTCCGATCGTCGCGCCGCTCGTGAGCAGCAAACCGAGGGTCTTTTTCAGCGCAGGGTCTTCGTCATCTCAGCGGTAAATTTCGAGGCCCTGAGGCACACCGAACTGATTCCCTGGTACGGACCAGTCACACAGCCTCCACTGCGAAACCTCAGCGGCTGGGAGCTGCGGAACAAAGTGCAGCCACCGCTGGCCATCTTGCCCTATCTGGTTCACACTAGGAGTGCGACGCAGCGCCGCACTGCCGAGGACGCCTGGGGCTGGAGCTGGAGCTTCGGCAATATGTATAGCTCAGCTGCGAAGGTATTTCTGCTACCGTGTGATCGCTGCCAACATGTGTTTTGGGTTTCCAGTCTGTGAGCAGGTGCTTTTGGGCCGGTGCATCGACTACACAGTCTCGGCAGGAAGCAAAATGTGCATGAGGTCACCCTCCCCCACCCCCTCCCCTCCACCTCTATGTCCGTGGTACAGGCTGGAAAACTTACCACATGTGTTAAGTTGTACACCAGACAATATATTCTGAGTCATATCCTACACATAGTTTTGTTTGCATCACACGAGTTGTCTTAGAGAAGTGAAAGTCTAAAGCAACACCAGCCAGCATATTCGTACAACGAGCTCATACTCAACAGCACATAAAGTTTCCGCCAAGAGGCAATCAATCGGGCAACGTCTGATCCGCATATGCGACTTTAGACCGGGACATTCTCGTACGATGGCTTAAGAAGCGCTCAGCAGCATCGTTTCCTCACGCAAAATATACATATATGTACTCTTTGAGTCGATTCCGCCCACAGCTTGGTGTTACCTGCGGCGGCGGACGCCCCCAGCATTGGGTGACTGCAACGCCGGGCGTTGGTTTACGTCGATTTTTCGATCGGCTCGCGACTCACAAATTTAAGTTTTTGGGAGGAGCCTTTGCTATGCCGTGTACTTTTGGGCTCCAGCGCCAACGAATTTCTTTGTTTCACTTGGTTTTGTTACTGATGACACACCCTAGTGAGCACGTTTTCCAGAGATAGCGGCTGTCAATTGGCTCTCGACAAATGCCTCGCAGGGTACAATGACATAATCAAACCATGATGCGTGTAGAAGCATGTTTACTCAGCAGAAAATTGTCCTGCTTAGAGCAGTCTTTCCATTCAAAACGTACGCCAATAATTATAACTGAGCTTTCGTCATCATATGCTGATGAGCTTGCTTCATTATCTTCAAGTGTGAGACATTTCCTTTAATATCACTATTGTGTTTTCATCAACAACATTTTTATCTAGAGGTTAATTTTCGTTCTATATTTCAATGTTCTGATAGACGGGACGGATATCTGCATTCACCAGGCAACGATCACCACCAATCCTAAATAACAACATTGTCTTGCTTTCGGTCGCCACTCCGTATAAGTCTTGAACAGTTGGCATAGATCAAGTTGTACACAAGGCAGTACTGATAACTTTGTTCACCGTTGAATGATTAGGGGAAGAAAGAGAGGATAATGGCTTTGTGTTTGATATATACAAATATGTATATAAACATATACACACATATATATATATAATAGAGAGAGAGAGAGAGAGAGAGAGAGAGAGAGAAGAGAGAGAGAGTAGAGAGATGAGAGGAGAGAGAGAGAGAGAGAGAGAGGGAGAGATGAGAGAGAGAGAGAGAGAGAGAGCGAGAGAAGGAGAGAGAGAGAAGAGAGAGAGAGAGAGAGAGAGAGAGAGGAGAGAGAGGAGAGGGAATATATATCCTTCCCCCTGGCTATTCGACGAATAATCCGGCTACCAGTACGCTATGGATGTAGTGGCGCCAGCACCGTCTTATGTACGTGCCACGTTCCTAACACCTACACTGAACAGCTTGCTTAATGATACTTTGGAATTGCATTGCACTAAACGCCACCGGGGTATCCAGCTGAACTTTTTTCCGACGGTCTGCATCCGCAGAGGTTACTGTCATCTTTTAGGAGGCAGGCACCCAGCCCAGACGGAATCCTCAGCACGCGACAGCCGTCGGCTGAGACATCAGGGTGAGTATGACAAGGCCACAGATGGGCTTCCACTTCCGTCTGGCAAAATGTTGCCACCTTAACAGTGAGACTGCATTTTCTGGCCACCCGCAAGCGGTCGTGTCACAAATGTCTTAGATAGCGTTTCACAACGTCGCGTGATACAAAGGCCTGCCATCGGCATGTACAGCAGCTTCTGCTGATGCAGTGGCACATGCTTGTCAGATGTCACTCTCCAAGTGTTTCGCGTCCGTGGTTGTTGTACAAAAGCGCCCATTTGGCGAGACCGGTCAGACTGCAGCAAACTCTGTCGTCTTGTGCCGGTGGGCTGGCTGCTCTGTCGCTCTGAAGATGGTGGCGTCTATATTTCTGGTAAGCTAACTGTATTGCGATTTTAGCAACGAGCCGGGAGAGTTCTTCTCGGAGTGGGGCAGCCCGTAGAATATGAATTAATGCAGGAATTGTGTGTGGGCTGCGTCGGATGATTGCCAACTGACAAGCGTTGGGACTATATTTCAAAACTGACTAACCGAACTGGTTTGGGATGAAGACCGGAAATGTGCACTGACATTTTATGTGGAAATTCCGCGTGATACAATTAGCTGGTATGCATTTCTCGGCGAAATGTTTTTACCACAGTGGTCTGGACCAGATGGGATTTGGTAAGTCAGCCGATAAACCCAGGAATGGCGATAAAATAGCTTCCAAATTTGGGCATGGTCATGAAGATTCTAACTGTAACGTGATTATGTAGCCGACGCTGCAACGTAAAATGCGAGCCTAAAAAATTAACTGGGATCGCATCTGCCGCAGCCGTTGTCCAAAGCCGTTCCTCCTAGAACAAACTAAACATCCTGATGTAAAATACTACCTCTCAGCCCCGACAGATGCAGGACGATAGAAGTGCAGTCACATTCACATATATATATATATATATATATATATATATATATATATATCGATCCTCGCTTCCCAACCTTTCTTCGCACTCACCAAGCAGAGCACCTACAACTTATCCGGCGGGCATTAACTTGGGCGGTGTGAGTGAATTTTGCACTTTCAATTTCGTTGCTTGTACCCGCGCGTTGTTCTCTAGCGCAGCTTGAGCGCAGCAGCCGAGTCCATGACAAACGCATCATATGTTCGTGTCTCGGTCGATCGAAAACTTTAATACCACTTATCAAGGGAATGCTGACTATTCTTTAAACTGATACACATTCATGCCGTCTGCGCAATGCAGATAGAGACCATACCCTTCGCAGCCCGCAACAAACGACCTGGACATGCCGCGCATCTGAGCTTGAAATGTAATAACTTTCGAAAAGGGTGGCCACGTTGTATCTACTTACAGGCCGACAAATGCATCGTGTAAGCCAAAATTCCAACTTGGGCCGTGAATGCACTCAACTATCACCATCCGCTCGAAATTTATTCAACAAACTTTGCCCTCCCGTCTTTTGGTACGTGGCGCAAATGTTTCCATTTTCATTCAACAGCCGTGGCTGTTAATGAATCCCGTTACACCGGTCCCTAAACGCAAGTCCCAAAACACTGACCAGTGCATGCATCGTTGTGCGATAATTAAGACGGAATATTAAAAAAATAGATTAATACGTCAGTGATAAAAATCACAAACACCTTAGTGCCTTATGACCAAGTAGACCTTATGATCCCACATATCCGAGCGTATCGTCTAAACATCGATGCAAGTGGTGGAAAGCTCCGTGCTTAAATTTGATGATGCTCCAAGCGGTTTTGTAGCAATTAAAAACCATCAAATCTTGAATATCTTGCCCAACGCAGATGCAATGTGCCGATACGCTGAAAGAAACAAGGTTCATTCAGCGTGTGTGGAGTGAAGTATGGGAGGTCTACCCTCCACATATAAACACTCGGCCCTTTTGAATTTTGAATTTGAATGGCCCTTTTCCATAATGGACTGATAGGAGGGGAGTAGATGCGATCCCAGTCGCATTCCAGTCGCATATGCTTGCGCGAAAACAGCGGTGGAATAATCTCAATGAGATCTAGTGTCGGTAACACATTTTATCGCATTTTTCTGCGCTGCATGTCCATATTTTCGAAAACATGCCACGTACCGAAACGAAACATACGCAGCCATATTACTCGTTTCAGCCTGAGCACATTGATCTATAGTGTTATGCACGTTTAACATATCAGTGTGATGTGGAGCTCCTTTAATGCAACGGTGTTGACCCATTGCACGCGATCGGGTGATTCGTCGATTGCCGCACCCCGACCGCGCGGACGTGGCTACTCCGCCCACTTTCATGGCGAGGGACTACACCCCAAGTAATGTTCATATCACTGAACCTATGAAGGGGTCACTGGCGGACAGGCCCGAAGTTCGGGTGTCGTTTGACGGGCACGCACCTGTGTTATTAAGCCCACACGGTTTCGTCCCCACCGCTCTATGGCTTCACCCACTAGCCAATAGCTTCAAAAACGGTGCTGTATTTCCGCCACGAAAAGGGTGTATACGGGTGCGGCTTGTGACTTCACCAATCGCCTACACATATTTCTACAGCCACGCACTTGACACGTCAGATGTCTTGGCAGGTGTCCAACGTAGATAAAAAGCTTGTCGTTGTCATCATTAGTTGACCGTGTACGTTCGGGTTAAGAGAGCAGTGTCAACACCTGCGCTCACTTCCTGCAGCAGCTTACCACTGCTGAAGTGGTCACATTCTGCTGGCGTTTGAGGGCTAGTACCAGGCTGCGTGGGACTCACCCTGCGCTGACCTTAATCAGGCTACAGTGCACAGTCTGCTGGTCTTTGCAAATGCCCGTTGTATGCGGTCCTGCCCGTTGCTCCACTGTAATTATCACAGTGTCCGCCTGTGAATGGTGAGACTACAGCGACGACTCATTCAAGAGCATGAGTGATGTTTTGTATTGTGTTGACATACCAACCACCGTTCCAAGGACGATTCGCGCTTGTTTCCGTTTGAAGAGCAAAGGTTTCGGCGACAGCGCCATCCTGACCTCACCGCTTTCCGTGAAACGCACTGGCTATGCACCGCACCCTACGCGATCTCCGAACTCGACACACACTGCTCAGACCTGGGACCGGAAGTCTGCAGTTGACTTGTGTCTACGTGGCGCCGGCGCCGCATAAGTCTGGCCCTATGACGACTGAGCATGGTGTAACCGTCCCTTACTTCCCCTTTCAGCAACCTCCCGCGGTGCGATCGGTGTGCATGTGATGCGATGCAGACCGTCCCTGGCGATGCGACGCGAGTCGTCTCTCGCGCTGCGATGCGGTGGTCTGTCCGATGCGATGCGGCAGAGTCCGCCCCTTGTGATGCGATGCAGTCTACCCCTTGTGACGATGCAGTCTACCCCTTGTGATGCGATGCAGTCTACCCCTTGTGACGATGCAGTCCATCCCTTACGAAACAACGCGGTCTGTTGGAGGTGATGCAGTGCGGTTCGTTCCTTATCATACGGCGCTGTCTGCATCCTGTGATTAATGTGGGCCGCCCCTTATGATGCGATGCTGTCCGTGAGATTCAATGCGATGCGTTCCGTCCCTTCCACAGATGCTGCCGCTACTGCTGACGGTCGCCGCAGACACCGAGCCGGAGCTGCCGCCGTTTCTGACGGTGATGGAGCGTGAGACGGTGGCGATGCCGCCCGACCGGCTGGCGGCGGCGCTGAGCTGGGCAAGGGGTCGGCTGGCCGCGTACCCGGCCGCAACTGCGGCCAAGGCGCCGCGCCATCCGGGCCGCCGCTCGCACTACCACATGTCGCGCCACGACTCGGATTCACGTGTGCAGGCGCTGGCGCACGAAGCGCTCGTCTGGGTAGAGGCGGCGCGAGCGCCGGCCAACCTCAGCGCCGCGCGCACCGACGTCGAGTGCCCGACTGAGCCGGCACCTAGCTGCGACTTTGATGCGCGGTTCCGGCGCCAGGACGGCGCCTGCAACAACCGGCGGAACCCGACCTGGGGCGCCTCCGACACAGCGATCGTGCGTCTCGCCGCTAACACGTACGACGACGGCGTCGACGCGCCGCGCAGCGTGTCGGCGGCGGGCGGCGCGCTGCCGACGGCGCGCAGCGTCAGCGCGGGGACCACTGGCAGCACCGACGACGAGAACACGGCGCTCACGCTCTCCGTCGTCAACTGGGGCCAGTTCATGGACCACGACATCACGCTGTCGCCGGTGCAGCTCGCCGCGCCGGGCGTCGAGCTTGACTGCTGCGTCGATGGTGTCGTCGCTGACGACGCGCACCCACGCTGCCTGCCGATCGACGTGCCAGAGGACGACGCGTTCTACGGGGCGCTGGGCGAGCGCTGCATGGAATTCGCGCGCTCGGTGCCGGCCGTGCCGGCCGGCTGCTCGGCCGGTCCAGCCAATCCTGTCAACGTGCTTACCGCCTTCATCGACGCTAGCAACGTGTACGGGTCTCGCGAGTCGCGCGCGACGCTGGTTCGCGCCGGGGAGGGCGGCCGCCTGCTGATACAGAGAGGCGCACTGCTGCCGCGCGACCCTCCCGGCGTCCAGATCGACACGGAGACGCCCTGCTTCAGCCCCGACCCGGAGGGACGGCCCTGCTTCCTGGCCGGCGACGTGCGCGCCACGGAGCAGAGCGGCCTCGCCACCATGCACACCGTCTGGATGCGCGAGCACAACCGACTCGCACGCGGCCTGGCGCGCGTCAACCCCGAATGGGACGACGAACGGCTCTTCCAGGAGGCGCGCCGCATTGTCGGCGCCGAGATCCAGCACATCACGTACAACGAGTGGCTGCCGCTGCTGGTTGGCGAAGCGTACATGCGGCGCATGCGCATCGGCACGCAGAGACGGGGCTACTCGCGCCGCTACTCGCCCAGGGTCAACCCCAGCATCGCCACCGAGTTCTCAACGGCCGCGTTCCGCGTGGGCCACACGCTGATCCAGGGCGAACTTGAGCTGTACCCTCGCGTCGCCAGCTCCTCGGTCAGCTTGCGCATCAACCTGCGCGACGTGTTCTTCGACCCGACGCTGATCTACGACGGCCGGCTGGACCAGATCGCCATCGGCATGATCACGCAGCATCCGCAGACGTGCGACGCCAACATCGCCGAGGACCTGACCGAGTTCCTCTTCCAGGAGGAGGGCCACGCCTTCGGGCTCGACCTCATCGCGCTGAACGTGCAGCGAGGCCGCGATCACGGCATCGCCACCTACAACACGATGCGCGCGCGGTGCGGCCTGACGCGCGTCACGAGCTTCGCCCAGCTGCTGCGGCAGATTCCAGCCGATGTCGTGCGCCGCCTCCGCAGCGTGTACGCGCACGTCGACGACATCGACCTGTTCGTCGGCGCCGTGTCCGAGCGGCCGGTGCCAGGCGCGGCGGTCGGTCCGACCATTCAATGCATTGTCGGCGACCAGTTCGCACGGCTGCGCTGGGGAGACAACTTCTTCTACGACCTGGGCGGCAGGCCATGGAGCTTCACGCGCGTCCAGCTGGACCAGCTGCGCAGGGTGTCGTGGGCCCGCGTGCTCTGCGACAACATCAGAAGCATCCGCGGCATCCAGCGCAGCGCCTTCCAGGCGGCTGGCCGCGGTAACAGCATCACGGCCTGCCGGAACTTGCCGAGCATGAACCTGCGCGCCTGGGGGTCCGCCAACTGAGGCGACGGCAGCGCTTGGAGGACAGCAGAGGACATCGAGAGGATGATGGACACCGCCAGACATCGAGAGGATGATGGATCGCGCTTTCGTTTATGGGTCGATTCATGTTTCTCCGCCTCGATTATGGGTCATTTTAGTTCAATGTATGCGTTGTGTGCATTTTAGGAAGGTGTGCCTTGCCCTGTTTGCTTACCACGGTTTACGTTTTATGGTTTGGTGGAGCGGTTTTCCGTGCGTTTGCATTCTTTCCTGATTTTACCAACTATCTGCTACTGCCGCTGATAAACAAACACGGCTGTGCACGTGATGATGCGCAACAATATAGTGAACGCAACATAATCAATTTTGTATTGTGTTGAATTCAAAGCGCCCTGCTGGCCAGCCCTGAGCACCGAGGCTATCTCAAGATGGGCTGAAGCTTCTTGAGGTTCCTGAGGTGCATCAGTATGAAGGCATGCATGTTTTCGAAGCTTTCAGTTTGTTTCGATTGGCGAAACACCTCACGTATTAGAGCATGTGCGGACAGCATCGTCGCCTACCAGTGCCAAGCCGACACCACCGGGAGAAGAGCCTTTTGTGGCCCCACCCTCTGGCTCATCTATGACGACGTCCAGATGGTGCCTGTTGAAGCTGGCAGTTATTAGGAACATCGTAGCATCGGTTAAAGGATCGGTCTATGCACTTACACACGTACGCACACGCACACACACACGCACACGCACACGCACACGCACGCGCACGCGCACACGCACACGCACACACACACACACACGCACGCACGCACGCACGCACGCACGCACGCACACACACACACACACACACACACACACACACCACACACACACACACACACACACACACACACACACACACACACACACACGTCTTTGTATCGGCGAGCGCATGTGTGTGTCTTACAAGCAATGCAGAAACATCGGTGGGCATTAACATTCAGTGACAAGCAATGCGATGCTTCCGACAAAAAAAAAAAAAATGGAAACAGCTGTTGTTAATGCCAGTCTACAGCCCTGGGAATGCCTTTATGTGCAGCCATAGACCCATGCCATGTGGTCGATATAAGGATGCTACAGGGGTCGAGCCTCGTCATTTGCATACAGCGCGGTCCTTGGCACCTGCTTGGGACCAGCTGGGGGTAATCTCCACCAGGAGTACTCGGGAAGTGGTAGCAAAGGAATACGGGTTGATATTCACCCCTGTTTTCGTGACACGCCGGGCCATTGGGTATGGGACCATTTGGAATCAAATACGGCCAATAGGTGCGTATTTGAGCCTATTTACAAACGAAATCGTAATATGAGAATTGTTGATACTTTAGACAGGAGCGGCATGGAGACATGGATTAATGTCTTGCTCGCGTTGGGTTTCTGGTTACCAATTATTGAACGTCTGCTTCTCTGCTCACCTCGTTCTGCACTGCCAAGAATTAAATGAACCCCCGATAAATTTGGATTTTTTGCGTTATCTCTTTAAAATTTGGATAGAATTTGAAATGGACGCCCGACACTTTGGTATGTTTATGGGACAGAATCTAGCGTCAGCTGACACTGCTGTACTGTTTGCGTCAGAACGCGTGGCCTGTCGCTCCGAACGCTGGCCCTGCCCAGACGTCACTCGATATGTTGTGGTTAGGGCGGGTGGGAGACATGTACGCTGGTCCCTCGCTGGCAGACGGGCTGACCAGAATGGCATACTTCGGCTGGGCCCGACGGGGAAGGATCAGGCGGGTCATCCGATGGCCTTCCGGCATTGACGAGCAGCACTGGGGAATTGAAGACATAGCTTTTACGCATGACAGACACAGTGTGAGTGTCTGTCTTACACAGTGACAGAGTGTCACATAAATCTCATTAGAACTATAAGGTTATTCGATATGCCCCCGTTTTGACTATCCAATCAGCAATACTCCCACACTGACTCGCAGGACTTCGTCAGTCCACAATGAATGTGATACGCGCTTGGAGGCGATGTTGGGCAAGATGGCCGCAGGGGTTGTTGTTAAGTGGGCTGCCACAACGACTTTTGGCTATCAGACGACCACCGGTGCCTTCAAACGACAATATTGCAGTCTCAGCATCTCAAAGCGTCTCGACCACAAAAGTTCTCGACTTCCACATCCACTGCATATCCTCACAGGGTGGAATAGCTAACCGTCTCTGGGAGTCAAGAGACGAATGTGGAATGTTGTTTACTTTGCAGTCGCGATCGCCACCGCCTTCCACCACGTGGACAACATCTCACCAGCTCCGGAGACCCGTTGCGGCGGCGTGAAAGGCAATGCGCAGGCGCGCGGCTGCGCACACGGCTTCAGAGCGGCGCACCTAGTCAGCTCTGACGTGCTCCGCCCTGCGCGCGCTGCCAGTCGTCGCGCAGACGCCTCTGACACCTCGCGCCGGGCCACGAGCAGCGTGTTCCAACTGAGCCCCCGCTGGTCGGGCCGAATGGTACTCAACTCGCTCCCCCCCCCTCCCCTCCCCGTCGAGTCTCGGCCGCTTGTGTATGTCGACAGTTCGGCTTATTTGCCGACGGAAAGTTTAGAACACCGACGGCACGCATGCGCCAGATTTTGACCACCCGTTACGTTCCATGAGCGGACATGACTACTAGTGGCGCCGCGGCCGACCCTGGTGGCAGGATATTGAACTAGTGTGTTTACCGCAGTGTTGCTGTCTCAGAAGTAAAATTTTGTGTTTGCGCGTACGCCGTGTGCCATGGAGTCATAAATCATCATTTGCTAGTCCATATTTTGGTGCAGAATTTAATTCTTTACATGACGGTATTAAAAATAGTTGTTAAGCTTTGAGCATGTCGTCGCCAAAGTAATTAAATCAGAGCAATGTCACGGGGGTTGCCACGTGCAAACTCAATTGCCGCGCGAAGCGCCCGCGCGGAACATTCAAATAACGCAGCACCAGGTCGTTAAAATATCATATCATTTCATTGCTAGGGCGGATAATGATAGACAATTTAATTCCCCGTTTGATGGTGTTACACATCTCCTGGTGTGATTTAGTGTGTCGTCGCGAATTTCAGTTAAACTAATGGATATCACGGATGTCACCTGCGCGCAGGACGTCCGTGATGTGGCGTGCGCGTATTCTGTCCTTGTCAGTGACAGGACAGTCGTGCGCAGGTCGACGCTTGTCTACAAGTTTTAACATTCATGCATAAATGCAGAAATGTATATGCATGAATGGTTTTATGCATAAACGTGAAAACGGTCAGGTGCAAATGTGTTTGCGCATAAACGTATGCATTAATGTGAGCTGCTTCACTACAAGGATAACGGGGTCCTGGTATCAGCAGCTGATTCAGCAGAACCAGAGAATGTGAAAATTAAAATATGTTCGGCATAGTCACTGCACTTTGCTGCCCCGCCCCCCCCCTCCCCCCCCCCCCCCTTTGCACGTGTCCGAATCTGGTCACGGCGCCGCGTCTGTCCGCGCAGAAAATTGAAGGCCTTATTTCATCAATATGACGCTTAGAATACAGCAAGTGTAACTCAGCACAACCGTAGAATCAACAGACAGCAAAAATCCAGGTTCTGAACGAAAACCAGTAAAAATAACGAGGTTTCTTTATTGCACACAAATCTGAAGGCCAACCATAACAGATGGCGGCGGTGCCGCCGATATCACGACGACCCGCCTACACGCGAGGGCGACACCACGGCTTCGGTGGCTGTCCAGCCCGGTCGCACCATCTTCCATGCGGCTGGGTCACTGGCCGCGTCTCCGTAGAGGCAGCGCTTCCTCGCAGCGCTCTAGCAAGTCTGCCTGCGATGTACAGCCGCCACGGCACACTCATGCATTGGACGCGCCCTTCTTTGACCCACAGAGCAGGTGATTCAGGATCCTTGTTCGCCTCAAAAGGATCTGCTTTGGGGCCTGTTTGAAGTTTGCTGCACTGAAGTATGTTGAGGTCACGAAATGATTTAGTTTTAATTCATTTTGTTGTTCAAAGGTACCTAGGCGACCCACACGTGAATTAATTTCATGACAGTGGTGGCCAAGAATACGAAGATAGGGCGTAAGGGCTCCAGTTCTGCGTTTACGCCACATGGTCACTACCAGCTCATAGCCATGTTCTCTCTCCTTTTCTTTCATCACATCACCCTCCATCACATACTCCTTGTCCTTTCTCATCTTCCCCACCCTTGCAGTGCACTCAGAAGGCACTACTTTATTGGTATCTACCACTGCACTAACACAACGCACATGCCATCCTTGCTGGCGTGTCTCACTATTATTTAGGATAGTGTCCACACTTTTGCCCACAAAATAATGAAGGTCTTTAAACAGAACTGGCACACTGACAGTACACCTTGCTTTTTGCCAAACAGGAAAACAAAGAGCCTTGAAGATTTTGGTGTTTAAAGACTGGGCAACAAGAGCAAGAGATGATTTGATAACTGTATTCTGAGGTGTCCCATAGAACTTCTGGGTGCTGATACTCTTCATCTGAAAAGGATGGAAAATGGTTCAGGAAAAAACAAGCATTAAATGAACATCACTCAGTCACTCTGTACCACATGAGCTGTGAGATGAAAATGGTAGTCATGTTTAAGGTCATGCAGGAGAGCAACTGAAATGCAGTGGAACATGCAATTGACTTGGCATTATGCTCTGTCCAGTATAACATCATTGAAAAGAATGAAGTTAATAAAATTGAAGGAATTAAGAAATGAATAGTGTTTGTCATCAAAATCCAACAGAGTGAAAACTGGAAATGTCACAACACATGGTGATACTTTTGCCATGATACACATGATACCTGATTTTAATTGTCTTTAAAAAACTGGCAGTTCCCATGGATAATCAAACACCAACATAGGTTTGTGTACTGGCCAGAAGAAATGTAGCATTCGGTTGGGTTGGGAAATGCAAGCCTGACACAAGGCTCAGAAGCATGATCATTACAAGGACATTCAGTGGGCAATACTCCCTCAAAAGAGACCAACTTCATCCTACTGCAATGCAGCACTCCGCAAAATGTCAACATACATTGTACAGTGGTACCCAAGGTGCTCAAATGAATAAGGCCTTGTCAAACAGCTGAATGAGGTCAACAATGCAGTCAGCAAAAGGCATCCGCTGAATGGCATGGAGGTAAGATCAATGTGCAGACTGTTTGGTGCATGGGTGTGCCAGCATAGCCCAGACCACGCTGGGCTGAAGATCCTGATGTTTTGTTTGCATATGATCACCATCACAGCATTATGATTTCTTCAGTATTTCTATCAGACTTACTTCCCGCATGGCGAGGTCAGAATTCTGAGGGTTTTTATAGGTGCTGATACCATGGGAAACTTGTGCTAGAAACCTCAGGCTGCATAGTATTGATACTTTTGTCAAACCTGTTAAAAACACTTCCATGCAGTATGCAAAATTATAATTCATGAACATTCATTGCTTATTGGAGGCTATTAACAAGAACAGGCAACAGCTGAATCCCAGTCATTGCTCCTGCATATAAGTGTGCTGCTTCTGAAGCCAGAAGTCAGGTTCAAAAGGATTCAGACGTGTAGACCCTAGAATAATGTACAAGATCAATTTAGTTTTAGATGTGGGCATGACCAGAAAGTGCTGGAATGTAGATTGTTGCCATGCGTATTGGTATTATGATCAGGTGCTGTATGTTGCAAATCAGACATTGCTAGCCTTTATGGTGTAAGCAAATGGAACACTCTCAATGTATGCACATGTTCGTTAATGCAGGCATACAGATATGCTGTTAGGTGTGAGATCCAATTGATGCTTAAAAGAAATTCTCAATTTGGTTTTGTTCGCAAAGATCTTGGTTCATCAAACTAACTGATCTAACCTCATGCAATTCCACGGTAAGTATACCATGTTTTCACCCGTGCAAAAAAATGACGAGGAAGATTGGATGATGCATCAGGGTATCGAAGCAGCATTCACGTGTGACACAATACGCACCTTTCACCCATCTTCGCCAGACACGTCCTTCCTTGCTGCTGAAAAACCATGTCCACACCTCCGACGCGCGAAGCCGGAGCGGCGGGCAACGTTATACAGGACGCGCAAAGCACCCGCCGTTTCAGCGCCAATTATTAGCAACGTCTGTCGCAGGCGCCCCATACTCGTATAAAATGCTGGGAATATATAAACGTCTTGATAATTATTTTCTTTCCTTATGCGCCCCAATGACCGCAGGTATACAGCGTTTGAACCGTAACGCTTTGCGTTGCAGTGGCTTGCTGTGTGCATGGTGTGCATAAATGCATGCATCCAGTGCATGCAATGAGTGTTAATGTGCTCGTCCTCTGAATGTACACTGGACAATACAACACATGTGCACGATGCAGAATATGCGATCTTAGGAGTTGGAAAACATGTCTATACATTAAACGACAGTGAACAGCTTGCTGCCGACAGTGAACACCTTGCTGCCGACAGTGAACAGCTTGCTGCTGACTTTATTTTCGGCTAAACATTGTCGGTGAACTCTGCATGTTATCGTTCAAACAGAGGACTGATCTGTTTAGTCAGTTGGCGGGCGCAGGCAGGAACGCCTGCGGTCACTGCGAGCGCTCCAGCTTGGCAGTAAGAGGTCGTCAGTAGGAAGCAGTATCCGATGCTATCAAGTGCGCGTGGCAAGTGAGTTTCGTCTCGCAGAGACTCTCGTGAGTCACGCGAGGCTCGTGCAATAGTCCGCACGGAGACAACGCTCCGGAGATCGCGACTGGTTTCTCCGACAGACCTGCTCACGTCAACCCGAACTCGTGTCGCGGCACCTCACTCAACACCTGGCAGCATTCCCTACTTTTCTATCCCCTGATGGTGGACGTGGGCGCGTGAAGTATGTTTTGGACGCATGCAGTTATTCATTATACTTACATTTGACGCTGATCAACGGAAAAGCAGCCATTCACGAGCATGTCCATCAGAACGCAACACAAGCGTTCCTCGGGTCGTCTAGGGACTTGAGTTTTCTTGGGGCCAGAATGGGCGAACATCTCATTCAAACTGACTGCACACGTGCAATCTTGGGTGTATTACACACCTCTGCGTAAGTCACAATGCCCGGTGATATCCCGACTACTGCGCCGAATAGTGATATAAACATTATGACGTCTCAAAGCAGGGCATTTGTTTCCAGCGTTCCATTTTGATGCTAATGGTCTGAAAATCATCCGTCTTTGCCATAGCACAAATATCATAGCATATCACATCGCAGGGCATGTCAGGCTGCCCTCCTGTAGCCGTCAGTTTAGCAGAAGACAAACTTCCCTCCAGGCGTACAGCAAGCTCAGATGGTCAGGTTAGCTTCGATCCATCTGCCCTCTAGAAGAGCGCGAGGTTGACGCTGGGCATGTTGTCGCAGTGCTCGACAGGGTTGACGTTTGGGTGTTTCCGGAAGAACGCCAGTCGCTGCACACTCGTGAAGTCGCCGCCCACGTTGTCACAGAGGATGCGAGCCCAGTTGGAGTGCTGCAGCTGCTGCAGTTGACCTGCCGGCCACCGAAGTGATGTCCCATTTCAAGGTCTCTCAGAGCCATATCAGACCTTGTGCTCATCTCCATCATGGCCATCGGTGAGGTGGGACATCTCCATTATGGCCATCGGTAAATCTCCATCACGACTATCGATGAGGTGGGACATCGCCATCATGGCTATCGGTAAGGCAGTACATCTCCATCATGTCCACCGGTAATGCGATACATCGCCACCATGGCTATCGGTTAGGTGGTCATCCACCATGATGGATGACCATGATGGATATATCCATCATGGTCATCGGCAAGGCGGCACATCGCCATCATGACCATCGGTAAGGCGGTACATCTCCATCATGGCTATCGGTGAGGGTGGTATTCACATCTCAGGGCATCATGATATGCCATGTGATTCCTTCGCTGACTTCGTCGCATTCACCTCGCGAAGTAATTCGTCATTAATGCCTAGGTGTCACCCCAACAAAAAACCATTGCAGTACAGACAAGAGTATTAGATTTCAGTTAACCTATGGACTCGTTTTGATATAGTTTATGCAACTGCGTGATTTTAAATCTAAGCAAAAGGCTGTCAATGATTAGGTTTCGTGCCATGTCGATGCCTTCAGGTCAGTGCGGGGAGAGCGTGTCACCTGCGTGAGAGCGTTGCCCGCCCTGGCGACGGCCGGACTACGCACTGCAGGCTGGCACAGGTACGGACAGCCGATGTGATTTACCATGCTTTAAAGGTTATCTGCGATCATCTGTTCAACCACAAGGAAATTTCCCCCCTGTTGGCGGTGCTCCATCGCACGACAGCGGTGCCGTTCGTATCATCAGAGGCGAGCCCCGCAATGGGGCCATGTCAGATGTCCTCAGACGCATCACCAATGTCATCACCTTTGCCAATGGCGAAGCTTTCCTCCCGCCCTCACGGACAAAACGGAGCGCACAGCAGCTGCCCCCCCCCCCCCCACACTCACTGAGAGTCATGTCACGCTTCCCCGTCACACCGTCGAGTGAGTGGGCCGGCCGTCAGCCTCTTCATCCGCCCGTGTCACCCGTCACACCGTCGAGTGAGTGGGCCGGCCGTCAGCCTCTTCATCCGCCCGTGTCACCCGTGTCACCCGTGTGATCGGTCCGCTGCTGGGGTCGGCCGCCTGGACCACGACTGTCACGCGCAGCAGCCTTGTGCTGCCTCACAGTCTAAGGCTCCAGAGTGAGCCTCCGAGAAAAAGACGCATTGGAGCGCCGGGCGACCTTACTGCTGCTGCAGTGGCGAGCCCAGGGGCATGGCTCGGACGTCAGTTAGATGACAGATATGTGGTTTTTGGGTTGCGTGATTAACTGCGAGCCCAGGGGCATGGCTCGGACGTCAGTTAGATGACAGATATGTGGTTTTTGGGTTGCGTGATTAACTGCGAGCCCAGGGACATGGCTCGGACGTCAGTTAGATGACAGATATGTGGTTTTTGGGTTGCGTGGATTAACTGCGAGCCCAGGGGCATGGCTCGATCGTCAGTTAGATGATAGATATGTGGTTTTGGGTTGCGTGATTAACTGCGAGCCCAGGGACATGGCTCGGACGTCAGTTAGATGATAGATATGTGGTTTTTGGGTTGCGTGATTAACTGCGAACCCAGGGACATGGCTCGGACGTCAGTTAGATGATAGATATGTGGTTTTGGGATTGCGTGATTAACTGCTAGCAGTTGTTTAATGGTTTGGTTCAATATTTTGATTGTGCGGGCTCTGGGATGAGGACCCACGCTAACCAGTGTCTGAGGTATGATTCCTGGACCCCCCATCACACACCTGCGAAATTCTTTCTCCAAGGCAGAATTTTGCCACAGAAGTTGAAAATGCCACAATATTCAGCATGGTTCATCATGTTCTCTGGCGCCACCTCACCTTTAACGAGGCAGCCGTCACCGGCCACAAGCCATCCCAGTCCGGGGGAGATCGCGACTGTTTGAACCAACTCAAGTCCACCCTGTCACGGTTGGGTGAAGGAACGCAGGCGCCCCAACTAACCGAGCTATCTGCCCGGACAGTTCGCGGTGCGTACGGGGCATCGATGCTACACAAGGTTACCAGGCAGTCCCAACTCTTTTTCAAAGCATGTCTCTCTGTAACTAACATGACATGAACACGTGTGAGCGTTGGCAATATCTTTGTCTAACTTAAATATGCGCTGTAAGTTTCGATCGAGATGCTAGCAGCAGCATAAAAACTTGGGTAAAGCAAAGACGGGGGCCCGCGTGACATCACTGGAATCTGCGTTGAGCCTTGAATAATCTTATATTGAAACTAAGCCCGAGTCGGAAGCATTTAAATTCTTTCAGTCCAAGCCTGGTTTATGTTCGTCGTCGAACGTCATGTATCATACCCTAAAAGGCGGGGACACGTCATCAGAACCCCACCATTAAACGATGACGCAATGTCACAGAAACGGCCTGGTTTTAAGGCGTCTTAACACGCGCCCAGGTGGTCGGTTGGATACCTTTCGCTCGGGTGGGGTGTCAGTTTGACACCCTGAGACCTCAAAAACTAAAGCAGCTAGAGACCCTAAATTCACAGGGTGTGTTGATCTGTACATGAACTCACTTAGGTGAAAGTTTAAGGTTCCTAGGTTATGACCTTTAAGTATAATAAGGTCAAATTCTAGGCTGGCCTCCAAAGGGCCACTGGAACCTAAATAAGCAAGGGGTCATATGCTCAGCTAGATCAGTAAATTCGTTTGACCCTTTGAAGACCATGGTGACCAACAAAGATAACGCTAGCCGGTATGTTCCTAAAATAAAATGTTAATATGTGCCATTTTAGGTCAGTGACCTATTATGACCTACATTAAGTATCTCAGGATGTATGGCTTAGTCCAACACTCAGTTGTTGGATCAGATTAAGCGATTCCCTAGAAACTGCCTTGGCTGAAACCATGGCCTGAGTTTGACCTGCCATAGGTCAGCGACCTTACAAGGTGCGTTTAATATTTGATGTCAAACGATCCGCTATTTAATTGTCTACAGCCATGTGAAATTCAGCGTGGCTACGCCGCGCCATTCGGAAACCATGCCGCAAAAACCTTTGTGGGGGTCAATTTGTCCCCCACGCGGACGCGTGTTAAATGGAGCGAGTTTTGCCATTGCATTCCCGTCTTCTTACGATGTTTTGTTCGCTTTATCGCCAGCCGTGTGATAACCATGCTACTGACAGCTGACAAATGTTGGCACTTCCGGTGACGTCACCAGTTTGCCTACCGGCTGTGAAACTGCCCGGCTGGCCAGCAAGGTCGTAGAAGAAGCGGTCGCCGTATCGCGACCTCAAGAACTGCTCCGTCAGCAGACAGCGCGCTGTCGGACCTGAGACACGTGACAGCGGTGACGTCAGGGTGACGTAGTATTTCGGCCTTTCGTCAGCATCATACTCATGGGATCGCTCTTTGACAGAAAATTCAGCGATTTCCGACGCCTCCCGCTTGTTCTCACTCAGACCAACCAAAAAAGGGGGCGCATTCCTATCAACTTCGGACGTCAACAGACAAAGTTCGTGACCTTAGGTGACGTCTGAACCTTAGCGGCCTACGCTATACCTGGATTAGGTCTAACCTGATGATGACCTTTGATGACTCACCGATCATGGCGCCTGCCGCCGGCCATTCCATGCTGAGCCCAGCGTAGAGGTCAACATCGTCCCAGTGAACGTACACCCGCTTCAGGCGAGCCATGTTCTGGTCACACACAAGGCTCGCTCAAGGTCAGACTCAATGACACGTGAACACAGTGCTCAAAGACGCGCTCAATGTCACGCTTGTGGCTAAACTCGTCACGTTGAAGGTCACACTCAAGGTCACGTTAAGGGTCATACTCAAGCTCAGGTTGAAGGTGATACTTTCCTTCATACTCAACGTCACGCCAAGACAAAGCTCAAGGATACGCTCAATGCCACGCTCGTGGATATACTTAAGGCCACGGAAGGCCACGATGAAAGTGCTACTCAAGATTGGAAACCCATGAAAACATGAAAACCCTTGAAAACATCGGAGCAGACAGTAATCACTCCAATCACAAACATAATCCACGGCTTTCCGAAACACGTGACAGCGCTTAAGCCTCTCCGCAGCTTCCTCCCGTCAGGAGCCGGAAGCTGCCATCACCTCGGCAGACATGACGGACAGCAAGTCGAACCAGCCGCCGACCGCAATGGCGGTGCACCAATGCAGGACAGGGGTGTACTTGGCGATGCCGTGGTCTCGTCCTCGTTGGATATTCAGCGACACCAGATCCAGGCCAAACTGAAACAGCGACAGGAGCTGGAGCTGGAGCTGTATGTGCAATTTGCCGGAGCACAGGAGTGGGGGGAGGGGAGTCATACAAATAGCTCCGGTCTGTCCAAAGCGGGGTTTTTCCTGAACAATGCGTGTCCCATGCACGAATTCTCACCTTTCTCATTAAAAGCTAACGAACGGATGCTGATTTGGCGTCATCCTGCGGGACATGGCTAGACGAGATTAGGTCAAACTACAACGGAGGCAGTGCCGACTGCGACGGGCTTGTCTACCCTCACCCTGATTCACCCATTGTCATAACGCGGCCTGATAACACGGGGAGAGTGGCGATGCAAACACCCTGCCGCTTCCGAAGGAAGAACAGTGGAGTTTCGCAGGAAGCACCAGTTGATTGGCCAGTGATACAACCAATCCAGTGGCCAGTGAATTGACCAGTGGTACAACCAATCCAGTGGCCAGTGAATTGGCCAGTGGTGCAACCAATCCAGTGGCCGGTGGGTTGGCCAGTGGAACAACCAATCCAGTGGCCAGTGGATTGGCCAGTGGTACAACCCATCCAGTGGCCAGTGGATTGGCAGTGGTACAACCAATCCATTGGCCAGTGGATTAGCCAGTGGCACCAGTGGATCAACAAGATCTCGTGATTGATAATAACCATATGCTGCTAGGTCCAAAATCGACCCCAACGTCAAAACGTCAAACGTCAACGTCAAAGGTCAAACGTCAATTTTTCCCGACGTCGCACTTTTCCAGCTTTACGTCTCCATATTCACCAAATCATTCCATTTAGTCACATGAAGCCTACACAGATATGTGTCTTGTTTAATCTTAGACACATTTGCGGTGTCATGCAGTGTTCCTAAAATGCCGTCACCACTCGAACACCAGAAATCCTGAAGACACGTGTAAAAGCGCGTGCTTTTTGGTGTAAAAGCGCGTGCAATGAATGCTACCTGACTACCGCAATTTTGAGCGTGATTGCACAACATGCCGGAGCGATATCATCAAAAGACTTCATTGGTTGCGGGGAGGGGGGGACATCAACCCCATGCTTCTATCAGGCTGAAGGTTTACTGGTACAGGAGCAATAGTGAATGGCACTGTGCTGGACCAAACAGGAATGGGATGAAATACTCTTCTAGCGGGATAAGATTGGAATGAAGCATGGCCAGAAGCTATTGATGTGGGGCTATTTCGGACCGTAAAGCTGTGACTTGCAGCTGGTAGCATACACGAAACTGAACTCGATAGGTCAGACAATTTGACTGAGGTGACAAGGCGATATTAAATAGAGAAGAGCCGACGGCCATCACCAAACAGTCATTGTCATTCATCTCCACAGCCTGCAGTAAGAAACAGTAAAATGTTCTGACAGTTATCGCTAATCATCAAAACCGTCCCCACGGATCCAAACAGGTTGACAGGCGACGGGCAGCCACGTTCTGTGCAGCCCAAAGACCTCATCGCTGCATTTGATCAAAACAAGCAAACGGCCCGCTGCTCGAGCTGAATACGAGACGTCACTCCGTGCCAGAGCATCTACTACAACACTCGACCTATTTACGAGACTTCGCTTCGTGCCAGAGCATTTACTACAACACTCGCAAGTGTTGCAACACAAACACTTGTTTCAACCTGAACCAGCAAAAATGCAGCAACCCTTTTTGCCTTACGCAAGTAAACCGTAGAAAAAAAAACACCACAAACGGCGTTGCAAACCCAAAACCTTCAAAGACATGCAGCATCGGTGCACCCATCCTGAGGCGCGATGACGTCATCTTACGCAGTCGGTGGAGAACAGCTGGCCGCGGATTTCGCTGGTGAAGTGCTTGTCGAAACCCTGCGGGTTCTGCACTGAGACGCCGCGCGCCAGCCGGATGAAGTGTTGGCTGGAGAGCAGGGAGCTCGGCTCGAAGAACGTCTCACGCAGCAGCTGAGAGGAGGCCACCGCGCCGGAAGCCGAGACGAACCTGTCGTGACGGGAGGTGCACTGGTAAACGAGCGGTCAGGTGCAGGTGCAGTGCCGTACCAGGTGCAGTGCCGTGCCAGTTGTAGTGCAGTGCCAGATGCAGTACCGTACCAGTTGTAGTGCAGTGCCAGGTGCAGTACCGCACAAGGTACAGTACCGTGCCAGGCGCAGTGTCGTGTCAGGCACAGTACCGTGCCAGGTGCAGTGCCGTCCCAGATGCAGTACCGTACCAATTACAGTACCGTGCCAGGAGCACAACCGTGCCAGGTGCAGTACCGCACCAGGTACAGTACAGTGCCAGGTGCAGTGTCGTGCCAGGTGCAGTACAGTGTAAGGTGGCAGTACCGCACCAGGTGCAGTACAATGCCAGGTGCCGGAATGGTGGGGTTTGCGGGGCGCCGGCTGCGCTTGTAAGCAGAGTGGTATCACATGCCGCGAGGGTGGACTGTTCCGTGACCTTTGGCTTTGACCTTCCATGACCGTGCTTTGGGAAGACAGACAAGCGCGGCCGTCATCAGCTCTCTACAGAGAGTGGCTGAGTAAGCAGTGGTGCTGACCGAGAGGGGTGTTGTTCATTTGCCTCCCCCCCCCCCAGCCCCCAGGACCCTAAGCTGTCAGTGTCATGTACGGGCTGGGCTAGTGTCCAGTGTCGTGTCCGAGGCTAGACTGATGTGTGGTACCGTGGCGGAGGCTGGGCTAGTGTACAGTGTCGTGTCCGCGGCTGGACTAGTGTTCAGCGTCGTGTCCGAGGCTGGGCTAGTGACCAGTGTCGTGTCCGAGGCTAGACTGATGTGTGGTATCGTGGCGGAGGCTGGGCTAGTGTCCAGCGTCGTGTCCGCGGCTGGGCTAGTGACCAGTGTCGTGTCCGAGGCTAGACTGATGTGTGGTATCGTGGCGGAGGCTGGGCTAGTGTACAGTGTCGTGTCCGCGGCTGGGCTAGTGTCCAGTGTCGTGTCCGCGGCTGGGCTAGTGACCAGTGTCGTGCCCGAGGCTAGACTGGTGTATGATATCGTGTCGGAGGCTGGGCTGGTCCACAGTGTCACGTCCGCCGCTGGGCTGGTGTCCAATATCGTGTCCGAGGCTGGACTGATGTATGGTATCGTGTCCGGAGCTGGGCTGGTGTCCAGTGTCGTATCCGCGGCTGGGCTAGTGCTCAGTGTCGCGTCCGAGGCTAGACTGATGTGTGGTATCGCTTCGGAGGCTGGGCTGGTGTCCAGCGTCATATCCGAGGCTAGACTGATGCATGGTATCGTGTCGGAGGCTGGGCTGGTGTACAGTGTCTTTCCGCGGCTGGGCTAGTGTCTAGTGTCGTGTCCGAGGCTAGATTGATGTATGATATCGGCGTTGGAGGCTGGGCTGGTGTACAGTGCGGTGTCCGCGGCTGGGCTAGTGTCTAGTGTCGTGTCCGAGGCTAGATTGATGCATGATATCGTGTCGGAGGCTGGGCTGGTGTACAGTGCAGTGTCCGCGGCTGGGCTGGTGTCCAGTGTCGTGTCCGAGGCTAGACTGATGTATGGTATCGTGTCGGAGGCTGGGCTGGTGTCCAGGGTCGTGTCCTAGGGTAGGGGATTCCATACGCCCAGACACGATGCGAGGTTATGATGCGTTTCAGGCTGCCGTAGTCAGAACAGTTGAACGCTTAACTCAGACACATGCCATTGGTAAGTTTATCTAGTGGATTAACGTCATGGTGATAGGCGAAATGTGGGATGATCTGTGGCGATGCCTTGAACCAGCACTATTCCTCACAATCGCGGTGACCGCCACTCCACACCAGCACCGTGCTTCCACAACTGCCACTGCCGCACAACCACTGTGCTTCCATGACCAAACTCTTCTTTATAACTACGGCCCACAGAACTGCACTCCACCGGCAGTCACTCACTGGACCATGTTCTGTATGAGGGAGTGCAGTCGGAAGCCCGCGCTGGCGAAGACGTTGGCGATGCTAGGGTTGAGGAGTGGCAGGTAGGCGCTGGAGTGGCCGTCAAGAGTGGTCCGAATGCCGACAGAGTGCGCGAACGAGTATCCTGGGGACGACAGCAAACGTGGCGCCCTCTGCTGCGTCGCGGTGGGAGGGAGGGGGGGGGGGGGGGGGGGGAGCCTGTCACGGTCCATTGCTTCATACAGCTTCTGTGATCATTCGTATGGTGGGCTACAGCGCCGAGAGTGGTCTCAGCTGCTTAGTTATCACTGAGCTAAAACAGATTCTTCACCGAAATGTTTGAATCTCTTAAAAAACGCCAGAAGCTATGGTATAGAAAGTGTCGCCATGGATCGCTGAAACCATGAACCACGTAAGCGATTCTACCTCTTTATTTTTTCCAATGGCTACAAAATTTGTCCAACAAAGCTCATCATGCAAAAAAACAGGGGCATCAGAGGAGATCATCACCGAGAAGAGCTGGCAGCCACTCGTTGTAAGAGATGTGCTGGTACTGGGCGATGACAATGCGTCTGGTGCGCTGGAAAATCTCCTCGTCCGAAGCATGCAGATAGCTAAAAATCAGAAGCCAGTGACAGTTTTCAATCCCCAAAAAGTAGCCAACCCAAGTAGCGTTTTGATCGTTTCCCTCCTAAGTACATGCGCTGAAATGGACTTAGTTTGACTTGGTATTATTCTGTGCATCATTGATGACTAGCGACACATCAACGAATTTGAGCATTTTCGACCAATGAACGATTCATTTAGAAGCTAATCTTTTTCCCTGTTTACCCTCCTGAACATATGTTCATAATAGCATACCATAATATCGTACCATTATACCATCCCATACTTTACCACACTACACATACCATAACGATAATATTGCCAAATACCATGCTTTCAACGCCATGGAACTGCAAAAACTTGAAGCATAGATACTTTTAAGTTTATATTTTGCTGTAACGCTGTTGACTAAAACACACGCCGCGGTCTAGGTCCCACTAAGTTATGCGTGCTTGCCTCCCATTGGGTCAGTATTAAAGCAAAAATTGTTTCGGAGTTATCAAAGGGTAACGAAAAACTTCCACCGGCCAGAGACATGCCATCTACATAATAAAGTACACGGCAACCTTCCTTGCTTCATCAGACCTTTTCCTCCGGTGCGTCCCGCCCTTTAATTTGACGTATGAATGGCAAACGAATTTAGCTTTGCGACCCAACCCAAACTTTACATAAGAACGCGTCCCGGCACGCTGGCCTGTCCACTGCACGTGCGCGGCATAGGCAGTATCACGCGGGGAAACTACGGTCACAAGAGCAAAAAAACGCGCGTTTTGTTTGACAAACACGGAACGACGTCCAAATCAGTCCGGAGGGGGGGGGGGGGGGGGGGCGGGGTAGGGAGAAGGGAATACACAGCCGGTAATGCGGAAAATACACCGAGGTAGAATAAGGGAAAACAACAGCCGGAACCAAGCAAATCTGATAGTCAAATGTGGGCCACATCAGGCCCACGTGGGCTCAAGTTCGTCGTTGCAGCATTGCGGTCGCTTCCCAGGAATGTGCATACCTTCTGAGCGAGTGTGTTTGCAACCCTGTTGTGCTCACGCACGAATATGGTGTGGTACATGGTCAGGATCGGATTCTCGTTGACTCTGGAATCGCCTGAAACAAGGAGGTCCGTACCCCAACGCTTCTCATCAAACACCGGACTTTTCGCATTGGAACATGCAAAACGTGTCACGTCATGACCGACATCCGCGCATGGAAATAGAGGACGTTAAAGCACGTGCCTGTCGCGAGACATGCATGGTCTGAACAGCAAGAGGCTAACGCAAAATGTGTACGATTTTGATGTGGCATTCTTATCATATTCTCAGCTCGCAAAATCTATTTTCACGTTCATTTTTAAAGATATTTTCTTTTAACGCGACGCGATTGGTAGCGCATGTCAGGGAAACAACGCACTCGCGGCAGTAAATTACATCGTACAACATGACATTTCGTAACAACGTGTTTGTCTTCGTCTGGATAAAGCCATAACATGCATAACCTGATTGCAGCAGTTGATTTAGAAAGACACTTGCATATACACGAATTCCGCAGTTAGTAGGACCCATGAACACAACGCATGACTGGCGCGAATAGGTGAGGCTTCATCATACTTCTCACCACTCCCAAGATTCGTGTAAGCAGCTAGGAGCCCAGTCTTCGCCAACGCTGACGAATTTGAGGTGCTTTTTTGCAATATCCTTTCAGCACGTCGTGCCCTCATAAAAAAGCTGCCTGAGCACGGCGAGGTCTGAGTTGCCTCCTTCGCGCTCACCCTTTGAGCAGACAGCTAGAGAACCGGGGCAGGTGAAAGCGTTCATTCCATTCCCCCTCGGCACGCTGCGGCGCCACTCGCTCTTTCTCCGTTCCCACACCGTCTCCCACTCCACACAAATCCACACCTCTTCAGCCTCCCCCCCCCCCCCCCAACCGCCCACCTCCCCATCAGGTCCTGACAAGCCTCACTTTCGCGCCACTCCGCAGGACCCATTCGTGGCGCACCTGCGATGAAGCATACGCGGTCCCGACAGGAGGTGCCGTAGGTGCCCTCCGCTTCAAGCGTCAGCGTCTCGCGAGGCAGCAGGTTACCCGCGCTGGTCTTCATCAGGCCGCCTGTGAACGTCCGCAGGCTGTTCTGCTTGGCCTGGTCGCTTCCATAGATCTGCGACCTGTCGGCCACCCGTTTGAAGCGGTTGTGGTTTGGTGCCTTTGAGAGTGGTTGGCCGTTGTTGTGGCGCTTTGGGCCGGCCGGCGCCCCTGTGGTAATTGTGGGAAGGCACACACGTGATCAATTTTGAATGAGTCTCCTTACAAGGAATTTACTGACATGTTCTGCCTGATGAAGACGCGAGTTTTCCACGTCGCTGTGTTTGGATGTTCATGGGCACATGGCTACATGGACGCTACCGCCATGTCATGCCATGGCAGGGCCATGGTGTACGATTGGTACCGAACTGAATTACTTTGGGTCAAGTTGTACTATTGGCTTTCAGTTAGCTCGTGGATAACACCGTTTTGGGTGAGGGGTTCAAGCTTAATACACTATGGACCAAAGTGATCTACATTGCTAGTGAGCGACACCGCGTTGGCGTGCCTACTGAGTACATGACATTCAATGAAATGTTTTCCTCGGTCAAAGCATAGCGATGCAGTACCTCTCCCCCAGTTCAGCAGAAACATAACACTGATCTGCAAAGACAATACATAACCAATTGCTCTGACCTGTTGCTGGTCGCTGAACTAATGCTGGATCTGACCTGTTGGCCTCGTCACTGCCGCAGGTTTGCACCCCTCGGCCGCTTGTTTGAAGCGCTTTCGCATCAGATCAGGTTCGGTCAGGTCAGCGACCAGCAACAGATGTGCTGGATTGCTTCTCTGACCTGAGCACCAGTTCCCGAAGAAGTTGGAGAAGGATTTCCCACCTTAATTTCCGCCGGCAAGTCGCTTTTGTTATTTTAAATTTTTCCCCAGGGGTGGTGAAACCTGCCAACTTGGTGGATAAGGTCGCCAACAAAAATGCATGTATTCACGCGAAGCCTGGCGCTAAAAATGCTTTTGGACAGCAAATTTTGGTGACGGCCAACACGAAAAATACAGCACACTATGCAAAACACAACATGAGGTATGTATACATAGATGTTATGCCCTCACCTCAATACATTTCGTCACACAACACAAGCCAACGTTTCTGTTAACACTCTTCACCGTACTTTACGGCACCCTGGTATCTTTTCAACGTTTCACTCCAGTCCGGCGACAAAAATATCCGATGATTTTTAGTTGGTCGCCGACTCGGTAACAGGTCGGCGACAAATCAGTGTACTTCCTATAGCCCGGCCGGTCGGCCTACTCGCTGTTTTTAACAGCCGACTGTCAGTGTCCCGAACTAGACAGTATACGGTAATGAAAAATATATCGATATGGGGATTCATGTGGCTGCAACGGCGTGTTTCGATTGTTGCGATGCGACTGATCTGAGGTGTATGGTGACTTTCAATGCACTGCAGCTTTGCAAGTGGCATTCGCATTTCAGTGTCATGAATACCTGCCTGGGGTTTAATTTCTGGCCTTGTTTACTTTGTTGGCTGTGCCGTGATTCAGCATTCTGTACCCGGCGACGAGAGGCATTGACAGTTCAAGGTAAGTAGGCGGGATGATCCAATCAAGGTAGAAATCGACCTGTGGTTATCCAAACCGCTTTTGCAAGAAACTGAAAAGGCTGTTGACTCACTGAATCCGTAATAAGCGACCGACCTTCTTCCCTTTCAAAGAACCGTGGATTTGATGTTGAAGTCTGATGGCACTCCTCATGAAGGAGAATGACGAAGGTGATAATAGTTCAGAAATACCAATTTGTGCCATTTTTGTGCCCGTCCTGATTGCGAATGGCTACCAGCCACATGGATCTTCAAATCGATGTGTTCCTACTTATTCAGTTCAGAGCTCCAGCCCTCCCCCTAAGTTTGTGAAGAGGTGTGCTGTGATAATCTGGGAGACATCCATATTTTGGGGTGCATTGCATAGTTTTTTTACTGCTCCCTAACCTATCTTCACTACGCCCCTGCTTGAAATACAATTATTTCATCAATGTTTTGATAGCTTTTAAACAAGTATCTACAGTTTAACCTTTCGTTGACATGAACCTTGATTGCTGGAAAGTTATGATGCCCAATGAGGTAGGCCACGAGGAGGCAATAAAAGCGAGGAATGGAGTGGTTTAGGAAATGTATGCAAAGAGGGAGGGGGGTAAACATTGAATTGCCATATCCCCCTTTACCAAGAATTTTACGTCAAATAGCAGGTGGTTTTATGTTATTTTGGTCCAACTGTCCTTTGAGGTCGGTGAAATGTTGGCATTTGGTTGCTTCTGAGAACAATGCTGGCTATTTCCTGATGATAGCACCCTTGCGGTAACAAGAAAGCTCTGGAAGTCAACCATTCTGCAGTGCTCATTCATGTGCATATTTTCTTTGCACTTGTAACCATGGCATTGCACGGATGCAACTATGGTATGTTTCATTACTCTTTCAGTACTGTTTTTGCTGGCATTGTCCTTAGAGTCCAAACAACATGGTTTTGTGTTGTAGTTAGCTTTTTTCTAATATCCATTTGTAATCTTCCAACTAGGAATGTTGGCTGTGGAGGGGGGGGGGATCAGCATTGAGGGGCCCAACCCAACATGTGGTGCTGGCATAATGACAGGCGTGCCAATTTTTAAGCATGATTAGAGGAAGATAGCAGCCCGTGGATCATGGTCAATAACTTAAGTCCAGAGAAGATGGTTTTGTGTCTGATGATTGCGTTTGATGATTTGATGGTTTTTGATGGTTTTGTGATGGCTAGCTTTTCTCACATCTTTTTTGTAATTTTCCAGGTAGAAACGTCGGCTGGAAATGGCAGGAATCAGCATTAGGGGTGCCCAACCCAGCATAGATATGGGGCAGTGCTCCAGAAACTATTTTGAATTGACACTTCGGCGTTACACATGGCAGACAGCACAGATAACCTTAAATTTGCATGCTACGCGCATGCAAAGAGCGATTTTGGCTTGCTGATTGAATTTCTACCAAGGTTTGGTTGTTGGTAATAAATGTGTCATATTGTTGTGGCAATTGATGTTTTCACAACCTGAAATACAGATTTTTACACTGGCTTATGTAGAATAAATAAAAAAGGATGGCAGACAGCAATTTTAACCCTTACCCTGATTTGCCGGTTTTGTAACGCGGACTGGTGGAAGGGGGATTCCCTGACGTTTGCAAACTGAGAAATCGCAAAAAAATTGTGAACTGCCTTTAGTGAGATCTCGTGATTAGTAAGAAGTCTCCTGTTGTTTACTAACCCCACTAGACCACGTCGAAGGTCAAATTTTCCTGAAAACCAAACATCAGCTTTGCATGTTCATATATACGAAACCATGCACTGAAGTGACATGAAACATGAAGAGGCGTGTCCCTTGTTTCATTATGAGTACAATGGCATGTAGTTTTGTGTATTTGGAGCCTGTATTTATGATGCAGGGTTTCATTCATGTAACAGTGCCAACCCTCCAGGCGTGGCCCGCAGAATCGCCGCTTGCCCCCCGCCGCATCCGCCGACTTTGCATCGTCCTGCAAAGGTCGTAAAAAACATTGTCACTCTGAAACCAGAATTGCAAGCGGCAATTTTTTTTAGTGTCAACACGCGTACAATGGATGCCCCAGAAGCTAGCAAAGATTTGAAAAACTGCACAATATGCCGCATTGGTATCCTCAGAAAACCGTGGGGGGGGGGGATCTCATCGCCAACCCTTCTCCTGTTCTGCGAGGGTGGGAAACTCGTTCAGAAGGGGCTATCCGCCTGACGTGAAGCTTTTGACAAATTTATGTACACCTTATTTTTGGGGACGCGGTGAAGGCGCCCGCCAGTCAAAACATGTCACACCAGGCTTGGAGCATGCTTAAGGTTTGGTGGATAGCTTAATGGTTGAGATGAACGTCATTTTCATAAAGAGGCATGGCCTCTACTCATGCCTCTTTATGAAAATGATTATATGTTTGTGATGTGATATGATGTAATGAACCTATATTTGACGTCATTCCCAGCGGCGCTTGCTACTGGTTTGGATCTGCTATGCATTCTGCTGCCCTGGTTATCGAGGTTCTTCGCTGTATTTTGCGGTCGTGGAAAGCAAAGCTAGCCGTAGATCGAGTTTAAACGTGAGGTCTTGGCAAGTCCCGAGGACGCCGAGGGTGAAAGGAAACTCCTGTCGTGATTGGGGTATCTTAGTAGTCCAGGGCAGGTGCGCCTGCTTTCCTAGGAGCAGCACTCATCCTGACATTTGTTCAAGGGCAGTGTATGACTGAACGTTTCGGTTATGTGCATGATAGTGAAAATTGCAGTGGTGAAAGAGACTTTCGGTGATAGGCTGATTACTGATGGCGCTGCTGGGCATGAACTTCATGACCAGTTTGCCATATGGTATCGAATTACGCTACTGGCAACACTTTTTCCTCCCAAAATTTGGTCGGCAACAAAAAGTACACTTCTGCACCCCCTGTTCTTCCCATATGTGAAAGGCTAAGTTGAAACGAATTCAACTGTACACGAAAGGTGCAACCAAGCCGCAACCATGTCATGTTAGGTGCGCTATTGGCGGAAGTACAAAAATAGATGCCGCCCGTTAAAATAATCCATCGAACAATATATTGGCTGATTAAATACACTTATGGCGTAGAGCTCGTTCCTCTGCTTAGCCGACACGTCCCTGTTGGCTGTCTTTCCGATGAAGAGCGCCCAACCATGCCGTCTAGCCAGTGAAGAGCGCCCAACCATGCCGTCTGTCCAGTGAAGAGCGCCCAACCATGCCGTCTATCCAGTGAAGAGTGCCCTAACACGCCGTGTATCCAGTGAAGAGCCTCCTACTATGCCGTCTGTCCAGTGAAGAGCGGCCAACCATGCCGTCTATCCAGTGAAGAGCGTCCTACCATGCCGTCTGTCCAGTGAAGAGCGTCCTACCATGCCCTAAATCCCGTGAGGGGTGCCCTACCATGCCGTCTATCCAGTCAAAAGCGTTACTTTCAGTCTCCGACCAGCAGTGTCATACGACAAACTTCTGTCATAAGGTGCTGTTATATCATTCCCCTCGTATGCAACGTAGAGTCCTTCGTGGGCTGGTTAGGCCTAAAGGTTATCGATACATAATTGGAAATGGACTGGATTGCCCACCGACTTTGAGAACGCCACCGGCATGTTCACGGGTAGAAGCTTGCTAAGTGTCTAAGACATACTTCGAGAAACACCAAATAATCCGCTTGGTTTTCCCTCTTTAGGCTATGACTAATTTCATCTTTATCTTCTTTGTACCTATCTGAGTACAAACAGCAAGTCTTATTGTTACACGTCCCCGATCTCTTTCATCATCTGGAGGAAAGGGAAAACGCCTAAGGCTACTAAAAAATACGCCCACAAATGGGTTTCTCCCGGACCGCACACATTCCTTTCCAAAATTGGCGGGGGGGAGGGGGGCTGAAAAGGAAGCCAGACCCCTACACGCAGGTGAAGCTCTGCGCCCCCACCGACCCGTCGAGCCAGTGAGTGATGTCGTTGAGCTGGTTGGCGGGACCCAGCTGGCAGCCTGGCGCCGGCGCCGGCACGCTGCGCACGAAGTTCATGCAGCGCTGTCGGTGCGGCCCGTAGAAGACGTCCGCCTCCCTGATGGCTATCGGCAGACACTGCGGGTGCACCGGCGGCGACGGCGGCGGCGATGTAGAGTTCGGCAGGCAGCATTCTATGCCCCTGTTGCCACCTGGCGGCACGGTGGTCTCGTTCGCAATCCAACCAGTTCAGGTGCTAAACGGAATTGATCTCGGTGGGGTTGCAGCGTCGCAAAATAAGTTGTGGATGGGGGAGCAAATAAATCGGCAAAAACTATCGCAGATAT